TAAGCTGCTTCCTCTTTTAGTCACACACACACACAAATATGTTTACATACGAAAGCTCTACCAAACACTTCCACTATTCATTGACATTGAAAGTTTGTCAATTGTGTCCCTCTTTTTTTTAAAAGATGGTCAGTGAGTTAAACAGTCCCGTCGGGGATATATCTATATATGTTCAGTAAATAAATTTAGCAGTAACCTAACAACAGTATTGTAAATAATATAAACCACTGTTTAATTAAAGTAAAGAATAATGGTAATAAAGAAAGTAGTCAGTTTTACTAAAATTAATGAATTTCAACTGCAAACATTAATTATTATTATTATTGATTTATAATTATAACCAGTCCCGAAATTCCTACGAGCACCACCTTCATGAATACTATTATTATTATTATTATTATTATTACGACTGTCATTAATAATTTAATGTCAGACATAAATTACACATTTATTATCATTTAAATATGCTAATAAAAAAATGACTAGTTAATACAAGTATTATTGATAATTTATTGGTTAGTAGTATATAAGTGAAATTAGGAAAAATCCTTAATATGACCAGTAGTAGTAATAGTAGTAGTGTTTAAGATGAGGAAATAGGATTTTGTTAGAATAGATAGATTGTATCCAATATTAGAATCCAAGAAGTATGTTTCACTTTAATTTGAACTCGTTCGTTTGATGCACTTACATTGTTCGAGTGTTTATGTTCACTTTTGCAATATGTCACTCAAAGTCTCTAATAAAAAATTATAATTATTGTAATGACTTGTTTATTTTTACCGAAGGGGGCGGATACATTTATTCTAATATAGCTCAAACCAACAGTTAATAAATTCATAGAATAACTCAGTATAATATTGTCACAAGTCTTGTTAGTCAGCTAAAAATAACTTAGAGCCTAAGATATATATACACACATCGGTCTAAGCTAACATCATCATATAAACACAGAGCGACGAAAATGTCACTGTAACAGTAGGATTAGTAGTTGTAATAGTAGTAGTGTGTGTGTGTGTAGTAGTAGAAGAAGAAGAAGAAGAAATAATAGTAGTGTGGTGTATGTTACTTAAGTCGACAGACATAAGTAATTTGTAACACCAATCGGGAGTGGAAAACCTGGTAGCAGAAGGCTATGAAGGTCGACTTGAAGAAGACAGAAATGGAAATAGAAAGAAACTGTAAATCAGAAGAATCATACAGAATGTGAAGGATAAATGATGGAAATTTCCAAATAAAGTATTCAATGTATGTTTCTCATATATTACCAAGAAATTCTGTAATTTTGTATTACAATACAACTGGTTGTCCCCACCTATATTCTCATTCATTACAGTAGTAATAATAGTAGTGTGTGTAGTAATGGTAATGTCAGTGATAGCAAAATAACATTACGACTGTAGAATATGATTCATCTTGTAAAACATTTCTGATATTTCATAATACGTTTATATAATAAATAAGAACTTTCGTCTAAATTTGAACGAATAGTTTCATAATATTTGGGCGCCGAGTTAATGTGAGACATTGAAGAAGAACAAGAAGAAGAAGAATGTATTTGTAAATTCTCAAATTCTTTCGCTGAGATTTCACTAAACATTCTTCCTCTTTAAGTTTATATCAATTGTAAAAGCATTATAAAAATATTTTTATTTGAAATAGTCCCGTTATCAATGTGTTTATTATTTCCCTGAAGAAGTATGAACCAATTCGCTAAGTGAAAGATTGAAATTATTTGAATTTCAATCTCAGAAATGATGACAAGTATAATTTACCCGCCAATGAGAGTTGAAGGAACGTGATCATGAAATACTACTTATCCCTTCCTATTCTACGCCGTTTCACCATTCAAAATGTGGAAGTATGTTTTTTTTTTTAAAAAAAATCTCTGCAATTTTCAAATGAGACATCTTTATTTACAAAGAAAAAACCCATTAAAGTATGTTAATATTTGTAACCATAGTGGTTAGTGATTAACTTAGAGATAAATTATAAGTATGTTTAATGAAGTTATAGCGGAAATTAGAATTTAGACAGTTTCTGTCATATACTACTTATCATAATAATAATAATAATATCTTAATTAATGTCTGCATATCTTTAAAGTTCATTATTTTTTTTAAATTAACGACATTAAATTCAAATGATGAATTTATCAAATGTAACTAATTAATAAATAATGGTCTATATTTAATGGTTAAGATGTAAATGGAGGAGTGAACCTGGACATGACAAGAAGGTTGGAAAGCTTAAAAACTTTAAGGTTACTTAATATAATAAAGATGCTTTCTACAAACTATACTTTTTAGCTAATAACTATACAATATATATATATATATATATATATATATATATATATATATATATATATATATATATATATATATATATATATTGTCGTGGGTAGATTTTTAGCCATTCGGAGTATCTCTGATGAACATTTGTTGTTGAATATATATCTGGAAAGCTAAAGATTATACTAAAATTTACATGAATATAATGCTCAACTTTTACATAGTGTTTAGGCTTAGGAAGTATGTTTCTTGAATTAATTCAAATGGTGTGTACACTTGATTATGGATATATCAATTGCATCTAATTCATGATAAACTATATTTCCTCGGAAATCTGTAATAGACTAATTATTATATATCTTTTCTACATACAATTATGCTTCACGCCTACTGATCTGTGTATGAATCTTGAAAATATTTGCATCACATTTATGAACTGAACTTAAATACATTATTCTCATCTAAAACAGAGACAAAAAGTATTGCACTGAGGGATCTTCTTTAAAAAGAAAAAAAACCTTGGGATACTAGACACAATGGAAGATGTTGTATTTTAGAGAAAAATGATTAACACTACAATTCATATCTCAAACATTCATTTATCAAATACAGATTTATATAATCGATTTCAAATTACACTTTAAGTGTGATAATTAGTGAATCTATCTAATTAAAACAAATGAATGTAATTGAAATCAGAGTTTATATCTATAACCCTTTTGTTAAAACTTTGCACATTATTATACTGAATAACTAAATTATCATTCACCTATTAAAAAATGTTCATCTTTTAACTGTTCATTTATAAATAATATTTAACACTTTATACGAATAATCATCAATATTAGAACGAATAGTTTGATAAGGATTGGGCACCGAGTATAGAGAAGTAATTACATAGGTTATTACCCTGAAGAAGTCCAAACAAGTTTATTGAACGAAACGCTAGAATTATTTAAAATTCAATTGCTGCGACCATTTTAAACATAATATTCAACACTACTGTTTTTACAGCTGAATTCATGAGTCAATCGAAGCTAGACCACTATGGAAAACTTGGAAACACTAGATGGTCGTTTAGTCCTAGTATGAGAATCTTTAGCAGTGCGCATCCACGATCCTGCTTTGCGAGATTCCAACCCAGGACCTATCAGTCTTGCGCGCAGACGCTTAACCTCTAAACCACTGAGCTGGCCGGCAACCAACGGTGTTAATATTAATGAGAAGCAGTGATCAGTGGAGTTCAACCAGGTCAGTTGTGAGATAGTAAATCACTGAAGACCACGGTGGACGGTGGAGCAATTTCGTGGATTGGTTGAAGTTAGACATCAACATCGTTGAATGCTAGCCAGCTCAATAGTCTAGAGGTTAAGCGTTTGCGCACGAGACTGATAGGCCGTGGATTCGAATCTCGCGAGTTCGGATCGTGGATGCGCACAGGTGAATCCCACAATAGGTCTAGTTTCAATTGACTCATGAGTTCAACTACTGTTTTTGTTTTCTTTAGGGGGGATGAGTGAATTTCCTTTTTTTCTAAATTGAAACATATGAAAAGTAATATATTATGATTTGATTTATATTGAATGTTATCAAAAAGTAATAATAATAATAATGCCATGATACAATTTTAAGTCATATCTTATTAAAGTCTACATTTCTAGGAATGTCTAGTTTTCTTTCTCTCAAGGAAGAATTAAGATTTATTGTCAATGTAACAATATGTCACTATTTGTTCAAAATTGATCTTACTTTTTTTTCATCCAAAGAAAAAATAGAAAGAAAAATGTTAATCGTTACATTCAAGACGATTTATTTATTGATAAACCAAATAAAAAAATATTATGTGTACAAAATGAAAACTTTATCTTGAAATAAACTTAACCTAGTAGAACTAGATCATTCAAATGTTTCAGGTGATTCTAACAGAAATTTCAGTATATTGGTATGATGACTAGTAATGGAATCTAGGAAATATGTTAAACTCCATTTCGAATCAGAAAACTGAATACACTTAAATTCTAATATGTTAATATTCACGCATATTCATTGTTGATTGGATTGATAGGTAAAAATCCTTCTTCAATGGTTAAGATGCCGGCTCAGTGGTCTAGTGGTTAAGTGCTCGCGCGCGAACCCAGTAGATCTTGGGTTCGAATCTCGTAGGGGGCGAGGTCTTGGATGTGCAATGCTGAGGGTTCCCACAATAGGACGGAACGGCCGTCCAGTGCTTCCAGGCTTTCCATGGTGGTCTAGCTTCAATTGACTCATGATCTTAACCATTGAAATTACTATAATATCCAAAAAACCCATCTGATAAAAATCCTTTTTCTCTAAAAAAAAATAACTATCAGTATGAGATTGATTGAAGTTAGACTTGTACACCATTGGATCCTGGATCAGTCGTTGTGTAGTTAAAAATTAATATATGAGACTGAAGGGATTGGCTCTAATTACCGGTTTTGGAGCCATACAGTCATCCATTGCTTCCCATTTGTCAATAGTTTACTAACTTAGATCGATTTGTGCTTTTTAAAAGTCACATTTATTATGTACTGACAAGTTTACAAACTACCTCTAAGTTATTTCGAATATATATGTATTTGGAGAATGACACAAATAATCATCAATTTTAATCTAATACGATGATGACTTTTCTTTTTCAAACTGAAAAACTTAAATTTTCAATTTCGAAAAAAATTGACTTACTTGTCGACTAACAAGAACACCAACAGTAAATAAACCAGCTGTCAACCATGCTACTACATGCTCTCTAGTTAAACAAGCTGAAACTTGATCGGATTTCGACGTGAACATCATACTATATCTTTGTTGTTGACAATAATCATGATTATGATAATGATGATTTATGGTTGTTGACCAACTACCATTATCACGTTTCATACTATTAGTTATTGTTTGATTCAATGTATTCTGAAAATTTGGTTGATACTGTTGTTTTACATTTGTAGGTGTTGTATTTAACGCTGGATTGTTTAGAGTATTATTATTATTATTATTACTAGCATGATACTTTTTTGTTGAAGGATGCATAAATCTTTCATTCATAATAATTTCTGATTGATTCCAATTTAACGAATTTTCTGAACAGAAGCAAAATGAATTAATTGGGAAACAATAACAATTTGATTCAGTATTCAGTTCATCAATATGATTCAACTGTTTATTATCATTACTACAAATATTTCCACTATTATCATTACTTAATTGTGATGGATGAGTATTACAACAACCAATACATGATGTAATCATACTGATTCTTTGTAAAGCCCAATGAATAACAAGCATTGTCCACCAAATATAACTAGCTATAGAAAAGAAATATTGTATTATAAATATAAATACACATAGGCCATTATCTAAACCTTCTTGCAATCGAATTCTTTGACCAGAATCTAAATCTTGTCCACATGTTACATTAGATTGACCTAATATTAAACTTAAACCAAATCCTAATGCATAAAATAATTGACATAATGCAATATAAATAATTGGTTTTTCATTGAAACGAAAATCTGTTAAATTCATTATATAACGTATTAATGTAAATATTGTCATTAAACTACAAATACCAGCTAATATACTAGTCCACATAATGGATAAATGTTTAGCTTCTGTTGTATAAAGTATATTAGATTCACATAATGGAGCACATCGTCCAGTACGATTAATATATACATAAAATATTGATTTTTTAAAATGTGAACAATAACGTATGGATTGAGCTAATTGTGGCAATGATAATGGATATTTATTTAAATGTGATGTAATTAAAGTATTAGGAAGAAATTGTTTATTGATTAAAAATTCACCGGTTAATTTCTCCATGATTTGATTTAATTCTAATTGTTCTTCATTCTCTTGTGTTTCTTTGATTGTTACTTGTTCTTTTATTTGATTGTTATTGATTTTTCATTGTTTAAATTGATTACTTGTAACATTTGTTTCATAGATGGATCTAATGGTAGATCTATATGATTTGGTTTATTGAATTTATCATTTAATTCTAGATTATTATTATTAATACTACTACTACTAATTGCACTTTTCAATGAATTTATATCTTCTTCTAAATCTTCTGGACCTTCCATACACATTGCACCACCAACACTATTTTTTATAGGAAATCGTGAACAATTCAAATTTTCTGGCCAATTAAAATCAAATACTCTAAGAAATGGTGCACATCTTGCACGTACATGTTCACATAATGGACGACATGGTCCAATTAAATAATGTGTATTTACATCACACATTGGTGTATAAATAGAACATAAGAAAAAATTTAATTTTGATGAACATTTATAAGTAATTAATGGTTTAAATGTTTGTAATTGATGTCTTGCATCAAATTGTGTCTCTTGTCCAATTAAATTTGGCATACCAGTATAATTATAAAATGTATTTTGACATTCTGGTATTTGTATTAATACGGTTTCATACAACGTTGTTGACCATAAATTGTTGTTGTTGATATTGTTGTTGTTGCTAATGTAGGACTATTATGAATTAATTTAAAACATAAACTATGTAAAATTAATATAATTAACATGATATTAATAATTTACAATATTCCTGTCAAATAAAGGATATACATGATATGATAACTTCATAAAAATCCATTTATTGATTTACATAGATTTTAATCATTATCATTGATATATTATTCATTGAGATCATCATTTGATCAATGTGAATTGAATACGATCTAATTTAGTTCAGAAAAAGATCGCAAAAAACAAACAAACTAACTAGATTATTTGTCTTATGAATAAATATTGTTTGTACAATATGACAATAATCAGAATTGTTTACAAAATATTTGATTTATTTATTATCATTATCACCAACGATTTCAGTAGACATCATGTTATTGTGTGTGTGTGTGTATATGTGTGTTGTGTTGTGTTGTGCCTCTATTCAATCATAATATGATTGGCAGCTTTAAAAATAAGATTAATGGAGATTGGATGAAAAGTTAACCTCATCGTTGATTGGTCCATTAAAATCATGTGACTGTATATTAAATAAATATATATATATATACCTGAGACAATGATATTTGAACAAGTGAACCAATCAAAATGTGACATGATAAACAGCTGCATATTTCATTTCAGGTTGATTAATGTCCATGGTAAATTAGATTTCTTTTTTTCTTTTCTTTCTTCTTTTTTTTCTTTGAAAATGGAGAACAGGTAGATCAGTGATTTATAATGAAGTTTATTAAGGGTTTGAATAATTTTTCTGGTTAGCATTTTTTTAGCGAGTTAGTTTTCTAAAGGATGAGGTCTCTAAACCCATGCCTAACCCTCCTCCTTTATCCGGGCTTGGGACCAGCAGTAGCCCCCGGAGGGACAGAGTGGGTTGGGGAATGCTGGTCGACGACCTATGCTTCATTAGGAGTAACAGGCGTAAGTAAGCTATTAAGGGTTATTAAATGAAAGAAGTGAATAATAGATTGTACTGATAAGAAGAAATAAAGAAAATAATAACAAAAAAGAAACAGTATAGAGATTGTGGAAACTGTTGAATTTTATTGAGATCATGAACTGATTTAAGTTAGATAGTCATCAATGACCAATAAGCACTGGAGAGCTGTTTTACTCTACTATGGAACTCTTCAGTGGTGAACATCAACGATCCTGTCGCTGGAGATCAAACTTAGGACCTTCAGTGATTCATATGAACATTAGACCTTTAAATTATTGAGTTGAGATCCAGCAATATACAAATGTAACCTCAATCAATCTGGGATAATGAGCAACTATCTTTCATTGCTTCTTTGTTAGAGACTTTCCTCATAGTACACACGTCTAAAAACCAATAGTCTTGACTTTTCACTAAGATAATTATTCAGTTGAAGAACAAAAACTGAAACAGATAGGTTTATTGCAATATTTGTAAACTTGAGAAAAGGGCTCCTTCAATCTGTCGCCATATTGCAAAATAATAACTCAGGCCACATAATATTTTAATTACGTAAAATATTATTCGTATAAAGTTGTGTGAACTTAGTATTCAAAATGTACACACCAGATCATATCATCCAAGAATTGATCATCACGATTACATTTCATATCGCTCTTGTCATCACCCTAACGATTCTCGGTTTAGATATCTAATCAATTTGTAAACAATAAATTTGAACTTACTAACAAAAATAATCTTTTTACATTTTTTTGGTGGAGTTTCGTTCTGTGATCTAGTTGGTTAAATCGAAAGACTTTAATTGTTTTTCTGATAGAAGTCTATCTCATTTAAATTTTTTAATGATGATGTTATCCACAAAGATTATGAAAGTTCCACCATTAAACCAATCAATTCAATGAATCACAATCACCCATTTAAGTTATAAATCTTCTCCAGTATCTTATAGACTATTTTCATCGAGTTTTAATAAACAGACCAAATAACAGTTGAGTTTATACAATAAAACGATGATACCAAGTCAATGATTCAAGATAAAAATCACTAGACTTGATTTACTTATCAATCTACTGATTTCAGTCTTAATTTGATTGAATCATTGTCATGTTTCAAAGACTTATTATTTTAAGGTTCATTATTTTCATGCTTAATATTTCAGATAATTAACCTGAGAGAAAAGCACCTATTTTATTGGTCATTTGTCTCTTTTTGTTTTTGGAGCTTTGTATATCGATGAAACACATCTAAGGACTCATTTTAGTTTGAATAATTTAATAGTCTTTTCATTCTAAGATGATATAAGTTGACTAGTTTCTCTGCAAGAAATTTTCTTCTTTGTATTTCCATCATTTAAACTTAGCTTACTCAAATATTATTGTTATTATAATTAACTTGTAAACACTTAAGAAATTGATTCCTATCTGTGGTGTATGCTACTTATATCTCTGGACATAAGTAGTATGTAACACCAATCGAAAATGGAATCCCGAACAGCAAAAGGTTAAGATGATCAAATTGAAGAGAACAAGAATGTAAACAAAGTTTAATTGTAATAACAATGAACGAATGATAAAGTTTAAGGCAATTTATGTAAAATTTGCAAATGAAGTATTTAATGTATAATTTTCACAATTTATGAAAGAATTCTATATTGATTCATTTCATAATTATTTCATCCTATATGATTACATAATATTTAACCAAGTATTTGATTTAATTTGTAATTTATTTCACTGTTTATTTGTTGAGATTTATTTAACGAGACTATACTTTATGGGTAACCTTTGAGCGATGTCAGAGTGACCTTGAGAGCGTCTATCTATCTGAAGTTTGTGGTGATGATGTCGTTCAGAAGAACAATGAAAGCTCCACAACCAAACCATCCAGCTTAGAGAACAAAACTCCATCAAAATTGTCTACTTACTTAATAAAACTAAATGAGGGTTATAAAACAATTTGAAGAATAAGGATTATGATTCACAATTGATGGTTAGAATTAAGAATTAGATTTACAAATTTTCATCATGATCTGATATTAGCTAAAATGTCAAGATGCTATTTGGCTAAATGAGTACATGAATTTCGCACCAAAATCCAAAACCTGTTATCCTTAATCTGATTGATTCGTTTATAACTTATAGTTCCGTCATTTATTCTAATTATTATACTCATTAGACATAAATTTTTATGTTACATTACATATCATTTAAATATTAGTAATTTTATTCTATTATTATTAGAAATTTTGTTTTTTCCTAAATTTTTCTGTTGTCTTAGCAACAATTAATTGAATTTGGAACTGTGGTAATAAACAAGAATCATTGTTTATGTATTTGTTTTTAATATAAAAAAGAAATAAAAGGATATTTAAAAATAATCACACTTCATTTGGATCGTTTTTTTTCTTCTTTTTATGTACACTAAGTAGTTACCGTCATTAACTATTAGTGGTCTAATCAAAATTTCAAATAATCTATGTTTCAAATTGTTATATCCTGAAGAGAATTATGAATGGTAACTTTTGTGAACTATTTATGGACTAATACGATGCATATATTTTTATTGTATAGTTGTTAATTAGCTAAACTATGGATTATTCATGTTCCTCTTATTATAAGCTTTATTTTGACTCAGAGACTATTATTATACAATTTACCATTCTTAAGTTATGCCCAGTTTATTAATTAGTGTATTCCACATTTACAGTCACTTTTGGCTAGATCTTGTACAAATCTTATGTCATATTTTATGGTGTGATGTGGTCTGTTTGATTTGTATATAAAACCAGTATGTTTGAAATACATGATTCATATTGCAGAGGCTAAGGTTGGTGGTTTGGACTCAACAGGCAGGGCTAAGGGGAAGAAGGCTAGATAATGATTCTAGACTACTCGTATGGGTTTTATGCGTCACTGGTCCGTCCGATAAATCACTGTTCTCTAACTAGCGTTATCATTACATTGTATATTAATAGGGCACTAAACTACAAATTATAACACAACTGCAGAAATATTTTAATAGACCTGCCTGTTTAAAGTTTATTTCCATTGAATAATGATAAATACGGAATGTATAGACTTCAAATATTGTCAAAGAAATTTTATTATCTGTTACTGTACAAAAACAGTGAACAATTCAAACAAAAACACTCCATTAATTGACGGGATTTTCCGTATACTTTTAAGAAAATGAAATGGCAGTGTAATGAACAAGAACACCAGCGAGGACAATCGGATGTATTTAGCACAAAAGTACAGGACTTGTTAATAAAATCTAACAATCATAAAGTAAATGCTTAATTTGCAAAACGTCCACCAATTGTCTCAAAATGACTCAGACTTCATTGTTCTTGCATTTTCATACAAATTGCATCCTGTTTCCATTTTTCACTGTTAGATGCTCTTGTCTCTCTCCTGCAGACCTTCTGTTTACGACTCACATCATATACTACTTATGTCGATATAAGTAGCACACACCGCAATAGTACATTTGTAATTCATCTAATCAATATTATCCTATATGAAACAAATAGTTGTAACAGCTGTACTCGTAGGAAACTTTTCACACTAACTCTTCGAAAAATATTTTCGAAATGTTTTTTTGTTTTATTTTGAATAATGAAATTTTTCAATGTTTGATGAACATAAATGTGTTAAAATATTCCATAAGTGATAGGGGAGTACCATAACAAACTGTTGAAACGGCTTCAAGAAGCACGACGAAGACTCTAGAGTCTCTAAAGGAGCCAAAGAGATTCCATCCAATCAGAACTTGATAGGGCATTCTAGAATATCAAGGTGGCATGATACAATTGGACGATAGTATAGCTTGTCTCCTTGAGGACTAGCTGAAGTTTATTGATGTTATGATCAATACTCACAGGTATAAATGCTCATGTTTTTCTGTACATTTTTGATTCTTATCCGATAATTACTTCCCCTGTTTCTTCCCT